CAGCTCTAAGAGATCTGACTCCTCCGCCTGGTCTCTATTAGCACCTGCATACACATGTACATACACACCTGAACACACACACACACAAATAAAAAAATCTTTTTTAAAAAATAATTTGAGCTACTATATTAAGCCAATATTCCAACCAAATTTATTTTATTTTTTTTAAATCTGATATACTTCTCAATGAAAGTTTTAAAATGTATCCTTATGCCGGGCAGGCGTGGTGGCACACACCTTTAATCCCAGCACTCGGGAGGCAGAGGCAGGTGGATCTCTTTGAGTTCAAGGCCAGCCTGGTCTACATAGTGAGTTCCAGGACAGCTGGGGCTACAGGGAGACCCTGTCTCAAGGACAAAAAAAAAAAGTAACCTTATAAGCCTCAAAGATATTATACTAATAAGTCTAACATGAAAGGTCACATATTCTCTTATTTCATTTATATGAACTGTCCAGGACAGGTAAATGCATTAGGAGGCAGAAAGAAGACTTCTGATTGTGAGGTGCTGCAGGAGACAGCAGAAAAGAAATTAACTGTTTAATAGGCACCGGGGACCCTCTAGGGTAATGAAAATGTGTTGGAACTAGACAGCTGACAATTGCTGAATAGAGAAAATGCAGCCAACGTCACCAGTACATACGTTTTAAACCAGTTCACTCCACATTATGTGATTCCACTGGAATTAAAAATATATAAACCATTCAAAGACACAAAAAAATGCTTAAAGAATATTTAAGAAAAAGTGGTCTTTTTTTATTATTGAAGTTCTGGTAAACATAACTACTTCAGTAAACTGGGCAAATACAGTATTATATATAATAGATATATTTAATACCTAAGAACTCAATGAGCCTCACTGTAAGGCTGACACTCTGGAACTGCTTCACGGCACTCCAAAATCTATACAAGCTTGCTACAAAAGCATTCCCAAGCCTGGTCCACTAAGTCCACCTTATTTTCCAAGTCAAATTTATGATCAAAATTTACATAAAATAAAATTTATCCTTTTAAGGGACACAGTTCAGTAAAATTTGACAGTTGAATAGTTATGTACCCAAAGCCACAAGATAAAATGTCTACCATCCCTAAAAGCTCCTCATACTATTCCAGTCAACACCTTTCCTTCTATCTCTAGCTTTGTCTTTTCTAGAACATCATATAAATGTATCACAGAATATCTGTACTTGTCCCTGGCTTCTTTAGCATGCTGCTTTAAGATTTACCCATGTTGATGTATGTGTATATAACATATACATAAAATAAAATTGTTCAGCAGTATTCTATTGTACTTGTATCATTATAACTTGTTTAGGCAATTTTTAGTTATTAACTTATGTGTATGAGTATCTTACTGCATGTATATAAGTATACCACAAGTGTGTAATGCCAGTGGAGACCAGAAAAGCCATCAGATCTCCTGGAACTGGAACTGCAGGTTGTTAGCTACCATGTGGGTACTAGAAACCAAACCCGGAACAAGTGCTCTTAACCAATGAACTATCTCTCCAGCCCATCTTATTTTACTTTTGGTGTTTTTGAGACAGGTTCTTGCTACAAAGCCTACCAGGATGGCCTTGAACTGGTGATCCTCCTGCCTTTGCCTCCAGTGCTGGGACAGCAGGCTTGAGTTAACATTCTCAACTATAACCCCATAATTTATGATGCATCCCTATATTTTTATTCCAGTCTTGTTTGTTTTGAGATGGAAGCTATCTATCTAGCCCAGGCTATCCTAAAACTCACTATAACCCAGGCTGGCCTTAACTCAGTGATTCTCTTGCCTCGGTCTTCTAAATGCTGAGATTTCAGGAGTTAGATACCATGCCTAGCTGATTCTAGTCTTTCTTCTAGTCATATGATACGCCCATAATTAAAAACACTTCATATTTGTTTTCTACTTTTTATCATTTCTGGGTTTTGCTTTGCTTTTTAATGTGTATATTTTTGCCTGCATGTATGCAAGTGTACAGTGTGCATTCAATGCCCACTGAGGCCAAAAGAGGGCACTGAATCCCCTGAAATTGGAGTTATAGAAGGTTGTTAGCTGTCTCTGCAAGACTGTGTCCTCTGCAAGAGCAGCCAGTGCTCTTAACCACTGAGCCATCTCTCTAGCTCTTTATTTTATCAGAAGCATTCATTTATATAGAATAAAAAAAGTCATTCAAGGGGCTGAAGAGATGGTTCAGCAGTTAAGAACACTGACTGTTCTTGCAGAAGACCTGGGTTCGAATCCCAGCACCCACATGGCAGCTAACAACCGTCCATATCTCCAGTTCCATGGGAACCAATACCCTCTGCTGTCGTCCATGGGCACTATGTGACATGGATGCACTCACACACATGCACGTGTAACAATTCATACACATAAAATAAATAAATCAAAAACAAAAAAGTCTTTCAAAATTTTAAGATTTAATTATGTTTCTAATAATTTTGGATTTTAAAGTATATTTATACACTAATATATAAATGTATGTATATATATTTTTTTAAAAACTGGGGCTGGAGAGATGGCTCAGCAGTTAAGAACACTGACTGCTCTTGCAGAAGACACTGGTTCAAATCCCAGCACCCACATAGCAGCTAACTGTCCGTAACTCCAGTTCCTGGGGATCCAACAGCCTCTTCTGTCTTCCGTGGGCATTCCATGACATGGGTGCACTCTAAATATATGATATGGATGATAAACAGCATCTCAAAATAATTTAGTGCCTTTGTTCTATACTGTGAATGTACTAAAATGTATGTAACCAAATTTATCGATATTTTTTATGATTTTGTTTTGAGGATATCATTTGTATCCTTACCAAGGAAACCAATTATTTGTTTAAATTTCCTTTTAATTTACTATGTTGTTTTGTTGTATTATTTTAGTAATTGATATGAGGTTAAAATTTTACTTTTCCTCAAGTACATTTCTCAATGACTTATTAAATACTCTAGCTTAAATACTTTCCCACTCATATTTTTTACCACATAGTAGTTTTAGTCTCATAACTTTACCAGGGTTTATGCTCGACCACTGCTCCATTTTTATGACAGAACACATGGCTTTTATTATCACAGATCTATAGCATGTTTCACTATTAAGGGCAGTTAACTCATCCCTCTGATTACCTCTACTTCCTAAAACTTTCTTGGTTTCTTTACCCGACTAGCCTTTCAGCAGAATTTTAGAATCACTTCCTCAAGATTCCCAAAGAGTTCTACTGACATTTTAGTAGAAATTGTGCTGTTATAATTTAATCTGAGAATTGGCATCTTTATACTATTCAGATTTCCCATTCAGGACCATGGTATGTACTCTTATCTCCAGGGTGTCTCTTTTTAAGAGACAGTGAATGGATAGAATGGATAGAGGGACAAATGGATAAATATATCTTAACAGCATTCTTTACATCTTAGGTAGTCCCAAGGGCAGTCATTTCATGCTTTGTTGTTAGCTATCATGGTGTTTCCCATGTAATTTCTAACTGATTTATCACAGCTACCTGCTAAGCACTGTAATGTCTATACTGTCCCCAGCTACTTTAGTATACTATACTCAATATCTAAAATACTTTTAAAGTTTTCTTGAGTTTTTAGGCAGACATGTTGTCCATAAACAACACAACTGTCTCTCCCTTCCTTGTCTTACTTCTGTTTCTTGTTTTCAGGGTTCCCACAGGCTTTCTAGAGCTTTGGTAAGTAACAAGGATGCCTCAGTACATGTTTTGAAAAGTCTAAAATCAGTAGAATGCTTTGTGAAAACTGATCCTGGTTCCTCATTTCAGCTTCCAAGTTACTAGAAAAAAAAAAAAAAACCAAGCCACACCTTCCCAGCCTCCCTAGGGCATCCTGCCAAACCAAAGTTTCAAAACAGAAGAGAACACGAGGGCATCTCTTCTTCAACTTGAGCCTAAGTGTGTCAAAGTAAATTAAATCTGAGGCTTTAAAAGAACAGCACTTCGCTCGCCATTATTCACCACCCTGCCTGCTTAAGGGTGACAAGAAAGGGAAAAGGAGAACAGCAGGGCACAAGCTGACAAAAGGAAGAAGGGCCTCAGCACCACCTGAAAGGGGCGTGGCTACTGTATAGATTTACTCTCCCTACCTCCTTTCATTCATTCCCATGAAATGAGCAGTGGGTCTTATTAGCATTCCAGATTACCTGAAGACTGGACTGTGGCTCATTTATCACCAGACCCAATTTTAGAACTTAAAGTACTTCGTACCCAATAGAAACTCCATAATTACTTATTAAGAAAAAAAAAAAAAATACTTGGGCACAGAAGTGAACTCTCAGTGATCCTTAAGTTACTGGCATGTCCTTTCTGAGACTCAGAAAGAAGAAGAAACAGTACACAGGAAGAGGAAACAGTACGCAGGGCTGTTTTCCCACTAAGAGACAATGAACCTGCCACAGTGAGTATTAACAGTATTACTGTTATCGACTCCAAACAAGGATAGATTTTCAAAACGTGCATTTAAAGATATTTTAATTGCTATGAGCACTCTTTAGACATCCCCCCATTGTTTTCACTTGTTCTCCATTTTCTCTGTTTTACTATGTGTGTGTGTGTGTGTGTGTGTGTGTGTGTGTAGGTCAGAGAATAACTTTCAGGAATTAATTCTGCTGAATCACATCATTGGCCCTTTTTTTGAGTCTCCCTGTAGCCCCAGACGACCTGGAACTCACTATATAGACCAAGCTAGCCTGGATCTCAGAAAGATCTGCCTGCCTCTGCCTCCCCAGTGCTAGGTTTAAAGGCATGCACTACCACACCTAGCTAGACACCCTTTTCTTGTATCTTAAAGTTATTTCAGAAGCACACTTTTTAGAACAATGCTCGCTACACAGCAGGTCTAAATAAACTCTTTACTTCACTGAATTAAGAAAGCAAAATAAAAGCATATTTGAGGTCACTGAATTATAACCAAATAATAATTTACAGTAATTCACATGAGGTGACAAGACTTATAAGCAAACTACCTCAATGTCACCTTGTGGTGACAAATACCTTGACACACTAAAAAGTATACTTGAAAGGAAGGGAGGGAGGGAGGGGAAGAGAAGGAAATGCAGTTTTTACACTTTGTCTTATTAAGGAAAAGTAGGCTTGGAGGCTCGGGGCAAGCATGGTGGTAGAGGCTATAATCCCAGCACTCAAGAGGCACAAGTAGGAGGAGCATCACAAATTCCAGGCCAACTGCACTGGGCAACATAGTAAGTTCCAGGCCAGCTGTGCTGAGCAGTACAACAAGTTTCAAGCCAACTGTGCTGGGCATCACAGTAAATTCTAGGCTAGTCTGAGCTGCAGTATAAGACCTTACCTCAAAAAGAATTTTCAAAAGTAAAATTCTACCTGCTTCCAGGAAATAAAAGAATTACACTGTACCTTTTCCTTCCCAGGCATCAAAGGCATCCATCATCTTCTTTAGTTCTGCTACTGAATAATAGCTCCAAATGTACTGGACGTTATTTCCTGCCTCCCTAGAAATGTTGCATAAAAGTAATAAAAACCTACTATTTAGGAATGAATGTATCTATGTATATACAGCTAACAGACAATAAGTGCTTGATAATTGAAACTATTTAAGTACTGAGGAGTTCCTTTATAACCCTTAACACAAGCATGCATTCATAAATCATATCATAATCTAACTTAAATTTGTTCTTTTAACTGTAGTATAGTACTTGTTAACTCCACAATATAAAAGTACATCAACATATTTTAAAACGAACCAATTAACTCTAATTAAATTAGAAAGGATTCAGCTTTAATGAAACTTTCCTAACATCATGTCAGGAGTTTGTATATTTTATATAAAAACATTGTTGCCTATAAAGAATTCAGAAACTGATGCTACTTCTAATCATCTGGAAAGCAAGCTTATATGACTATATATTAGTAACTAAAATGTGACCCAATTCAATCTCCCAGAGAATATAGAGAATTTGCTAAGTGAATTGACCAGTATAAGTAAGATTACAGATAACATACTAAAAGGATAACCTTTAAGATGGCTTAGCAGTTAAGAGCACTAGCTGCTCTTGCAGAGGTCCCAGGTTCTGTTCCCAGCACCCACATGGTGGCTCACAACGAACTCCAGTTCCAAGGCATCTGGATGCCCTCTTCTAGCTTCCATGGGTACTGTTTGCACATGGTACGCTTCAATACATGCAGAGAAAAAACTCATACACATAAAGTAAAAATCACTTTTTATTTAATTTTTATTATTTTTATTTTTTGTGTATGAGTGTATTGCCTGCATGTATGTGAGTGTACATGTGTCATGCAATGCCATGGAGGTCAGAAAAAGAGGGCTTCAGATTCCCCTAGAACTGGAGTTAAGGACGTTAAGGATGGTTCACAGCCGCCATATGGGTGCTGGGAATCGAACCTGTGCTCTTAACTTCTGAGCCATCTCTCCAGCCCCATAAATAATCTTTTTTAAGAAAAGAATCTAACATGTTGAAGTCTGGGAGCCAAGGAAGGCCTTCCTCATTTCTCAAATAAGATAGAAGGCAGAATCTAGCCCTGGGTCACTCAGTGGGCTTGCTGACTCTGAGCCACTGCTTTCCTCACACTATGGTCCAGGGGAGATGCTAGGCATGTGGCTTTTCTTCCTTTTTGCTTTGTAAAGGCCTGTCATGGGACTCAATGCTCACTGTGCTGAGAACCACTGTTCTTAATCCTGCAGAAAGCTAGGACTTCATTCTCTTGAAAAGGTCGTAATAATAATCTGTTCCTGAAGCAGACATCTCCACAGCTCTGAGGGTTTACTGTCTACTGAGGCATGATGACAGCCTTTTTATCAAGCACATATGTCAGTAACAATTTTTTAGAGCCCAAGACTTTCTATTCTTCTTTTTCACATTTAAATTTGAACATACCTTTTAAAAATGCTTTTACTGTGAATTCTTCCTCCCAGCTGCTTATCAATAGCATCTGTTCCATCAGTTTTTGTCGCATAGACACCAATAATTCTACTCTCACAGCTTGCACCAGATGTGTTAAGATAGTGGAGAACCCAAACTGTTGGCTGATTGCAAACTAAGCCATATGAATCACAGAAGTCTGTTAAAGCCTAAAGCAAAAATACACATAAAATTTGGATTTAATTATGGAATAAAGGATGAATATGCTAGCTATATTTCTTTCACATAAAGCTGAAATTTGAACTGGTCATAAGGGAAATAAAAAGATAATAAATTCAGCCTAGTCTTTAAAAATATATATGATAAATTCACTGGTGACAGAAGATCATCACAAAAAATACCACTCAAAAATTCGACCATGTGGGGACAGTGTGATGGCTTAGCAGTTAAGAGCACTGGCTGCCTTGCAGAGAGAGGTCCTAGGTTCTGTTCCATGGCAGCTAACAACTGTCCCTAACTTCAGTTCCAGAGGATCTTATGCCCTCTTCTGGTCTCTGTGGGCATTGCAAGCACATGGTACACTACATACATGCAGGCAAAACACTCATACATATTAAATAATTTTTTAAAGCATTAAAATTCAAAAATGCTTCACTCAGAATACTCTTCCAAATAGGATTTCTACCTGCAAACATCACTTTTTTTCTTTTTGAGACAGGGTCTCCCTGTAGCCCCAGCTGTCCTGGAACTCACGATGTAGACCAGTCTGGCCTTGAACTCACAGAGATCCGCCTGCCTTTGCCTCCCAAGTGCTGGGATTAAGGGTGTACTTTTAATTGTATAATCTTCATATAATGTCTAAAAGTTAGATCTTCCTTGTCCTCAGAATATTTTCTCAGTTTTCTCATTTGACTCAACCTCTCTTTCACTTTCTAATTCATCCCCATGGCTGGTCCTTATTTTTTGCTCCACATTCCAACTACAGATGAATGAGATTAACTTGTTCCTTTATACTGAAAGACAGATACTCTAAGGTCCATGCATACTGTCTGACTCACTGGCATTTGCAGCCATTATGAGCTGAGCACTGTCCTAGGTACTAGAGACATGAGGATGAATGAGAGACAGAGTCCCAGTCCTCCCAAAGTTCATAGGTAAAGACAGACACTAAATAAGCTATCAACATACCATAGTAAATCCTCATCATAATACAATGTGCTACACACAAGGCATGGAACTAGAGCCTTCCTTGACACCCTAAACCCCTTAGGGACAAGCATCCTTTGTTTGCTCACTGACAAATCCCTAGTGCCTGGAATAGTGGCTGAGACAAAGGAAACACGCATGTCTCACACTTTCATTTAATATTGCAATCTAACTCCTCTGTTGGCCTTTAACTTTATATGCATATCTGTAAGAATTCTTTGGGGCTGGAGAGATGGCTCAGTGGTTAAGAGCATTGGCTGCTCTTGCAGAGGACCTGGATTCAATTCCCAGCACCCACATGGCAGCTAACAACCATCAATAACTCTGGTTCCAGGGGAATCCAAAGCACTCCCTGACTTCCATAAGCATTGCAGGATACAGGTGTACTCACATACATGCAGGCAATACATTCAGACACATTAAAAAAATAATATTTTTTAAAAAAAGAACTCCATGTAGATAAAGCTTGGGTAAAAAAAACAAACGTTCTCAAATAAACCTTGACTAGATATATATTTTGTTCCTTAATATCTTTTGTTCCTTAAACTAGTTGACTAAACTATTACCATAGACGTTTTAAGATTATGTGTGTGTTATTTTTGTCTCATCCTTTACATATCATAACAAACCTACACAGACCTTTATCACTTGCTTAGGCTTTCTCATTTTTTTCCATTTTGGAAAATATCTCCATTCCCACATCCTTTTAGCATCTTTTACACTTTCATTTTCTTTTTTCAATAATTATAAGACATAATAACATTAACAAATAAATTTTCTATCTATTGTGAAAATTCTTTTCCTTGGGATACTAAGCAATGCTTATTCCCTTTTAAGGGTCTAGTGTCAAACCAATGTTTGATTAAAGTTTCACTGGGGAACCAATGAATTTACTGAGCTTACTTACAGAGATGACTGAGGAGTTGCTGAGGTGTATGAATGACCATTGGAAAGCCTTTACCCAGTATGGGTCAAGCCTTCTCTTCCTAGCCTTCCCCAGACTGTATACTTTAGCCCTCCCCAAATCTAAGAGACCATGTCTGATTAGGGCCAAATTACATACAGTTGGCTGGGAAGAGTGGCTGGATACTCTAGTGAGGGTCCAATGATCCTGTTTGCCCCTCCTTTAATGAAGGAGTACAACCAACAACAAGCCCAAGCTTTAGCTACATAGCACACGGTAATTAAAAGTACCAGACTGGTGGAACTAACCTTATTGGATGTTTAACAGCCATATTTTGAGGCCTATACTAATCTGGTCAGAGAGACTTAAAGGACAGTTATTGCCCCTTGCCCACCAAGGTCAACTAAGTTCCAGGGGACTATGGAACATCTCTCAAAATGTCCTGTAACTGTGGTGAGTCACCTGTACTCTTGTTCAGGGAGGCCATGGAGACCCCACCAGATGGACCTGAACCAGTATCCAGTCTACAAAGGGGAGGGTCAACTCAGAGGAAACATTTCCTCCATGCTTCCAAATGAAGCCAGCCATGGGCAAGCAGGACCTTTGACTTATCTTCACATAGATGGAACTGGTAAAAGAAAGGAGCCAGGGGTGCCTCCCAAGCCCATATGACCCGAGGAACAGATCCTCAAACGGCTTTAAGTGTAAATATAAATTGATTTATTTGGACTGTATGGTCTTAAATACCCAAAGAGAAAGTATAACCAAAGAGTAAAGTGATCAGTATATTTCTTTAAGCGTTCAAGGGATTATACTTTCCAGACATTAGGCTTTAGTCTATATGAAAAGTTATTCAGGGGCTGGAGAGATGGCTCAGCAGTTAAGAACACTGGCTGTTCTTACAGAAGACCCAGGTTCGAATCCCAGCACCCACATGGCAGCTAACAACTGTCCATAACTCCAGTCCCAGGGGATCCGACAGCCTCTTCTGACCTCTGTGGGCAATGCACGCCACGGGTGCACGTACCTACATGCAGGCAATACACGCATACATGTAAGATAAAAATAATAAATAAAAATTTTTAAGAAAGTTATTCAGACAATTATTTCTCATTGATGATTTTGTTCTGAATCGGAAAGTGCTGCTCAGATATAAGACTTCAAATCTTGGTCTCCAATACTGTAGTGCCCACCCGTAGCTAAGGGAGACAACCCACTAATTGTTCTAAGATGATGGCCAAATTTATTTTTTCTCCCTATCTAGAAGCCTTTGAGAGGGAACTGATACTGATTCTAACCACTCCAACAGCTATCAAAATATCTGATAGCAAATCCTGAATCACTCTAGAGTCCAGCCTTAGCAGACAAAAGAAAAATGAGGAGGAACTCAATAGAGGGATGCTTTTAGAAGCGCTCATCAAGAAATTCCAGTGGACTCTCATATGAACATTTGAAATTTGCCCAGTTCTAACCTTTTTCTAGTTCCCTGTCTAGAACTTGTAATGATAATTACTCTTGCCTTTACTTCTTCTTCACATTTCCTATTCACTAGTCAAGGACTTTCTTTTCCCCCTACAGGTAAGAGATATGCAATCTGGGAGTCTTTTAGATAGACCCACTGAAGGGGTACTCCAACTGCCCCACCCTGCGTCCCTGTTCAACATGGAAGAAGCCAGAGCGGTCTGTGTCCCATTCCCTATCTGCAAGCTGGGTAACCTCTTCAGAGGGTGGTGCTGATAAGAATAGGAAGTAGGAATTGGCTAGGCAGTTAATGTAAAAGGACCCCAAAGAAAAGTAGCCAGTTTCTTGACTACAAGTCAAAATGCCCTTGGGCCTCTTAGCAACATACTCTGTTCCAAAGGCCGAAAATGTCAAAAGTATTTGGGAGCTCTTATCTTATCCTTAAAAGATTTTAGGGTTACCTCTTCAGAGGGGGGACTGTTAGAGTAGCAAAAAGCCCCATTAAAAAAAGGAGGAGGAGGAGGAGATGAACTTATCAGAAAAAAGTGATGGGGTGATATGGGAGGAGTTGGAGGGGAAGGAGTAGGCATGGATTTGATCAAAACACCTTATATGCGTGTATGAAATTCTCAAAAAATTATTTAAAAAAACAACAACAACAACAACAAAAAGAAGTCCAAATTACACTATAAACTATTCAAGGGCAAGAAATGGATACCTGGTACCTCACATAGTCTCTTTACAGTGCCATATATGACACAACATTTGAAATAAACATGTGTTGCCTGTTGGAACAAATGTGAGCAAGCTTTGTCCTTTCTTAACACAAAGCAGGAGTCAAAGACATTAGGCTAAGATTCAGAAGATGAATGCTAACCCTCTCTAAACTTCCAGAGAGGCTTTTTTTAGCCCTATTCTGCAGATTTGGTAATCAACATTGTAAAGACTATTACTTGGCAATTAAATTTATGAATAACTTCCATAGTAAAATCCATACATCCATACAAATTCCTGAAGGGGATTTTGTGCTGCACTCCTAATAACTAATCATCCATTATTTTGCTCCCAAAACACTAACATCCAAATAAAAATTTCAAACCAGTTCACATTTTTAATATCAACAATTACCTAGGGAAATAACTTTCTTATGTGCTAATTAATAGCAAATATAGTACTTATCAATACTATATATAATGAAGCTTTTCAAATCATGTAAAGATCTTTAAAATGTGATTTAAAATAGAAACTTCTTGTTAAAAGATTTACTGATTTCAAAGTGAATTCAGCAAATGAATGCTTTAACATAATTGCAAACTGCTATACTCATTAAGTCACGTAAGAGTTTACTATTTAGCATGACAATCTTTTATAAACAAGTTATCTTAGTAAAGAAAATAATATCACTATACCCTCATTAACCAACTGTAGTATTTCTCTTAATTTAAAAAGAACTTTGGAGCCAGGCGTGGTGGTGCACACCTTTAATCCCATCACTCTGGAAGCAGACGCTGGCAGATCTCTGTGAGTTCAAGGCCAGCCAGGTCTACATAGTGAGTGAGTTCCAGGCCAGCTGGCACTACAGGGAGACCCTGTCTCACAAAGACCAAAA